AAAAAAAAAAATGCTGCAATTATCGAGATAGGAAAATATGAAACTCAAAGTATCAATCAGATTTTTCAGCCTCTCTTTTTTTGCGGATGATTTTGAGAATTGTACATTCACGACTCGTGGCGTTTTATCTATACATTATCTTGACCCGAAGTCAAATTGGTTCGACTGATGTCTGAGTTCTGATATGGTCCTCGTATTTCTTTTGGAAACATCTCAGCCTGCACCGTGATCCACCGGAGGAACACGTTTCACATTTTCATGCGTCTGATTGCCCATTCAGACACTCTTGCGCTCGTCTATCTATCAAAGGCACGATGATATACGTTTGAGACGGGCATTATTATGTGCGTGAGTGCTCGTTATCCAATCGGCCAAAAAAAAAAAAAAAAAAAAAAAAAAAGAAAAAAAAACAATCCAATTAATGGAGGCCTCGACGGAGTTCAATAATCGTTCACAGAGATTGGCGTTTCGCGTTTCAGTTATCGGAACCGTAACTAGGGTTCAGCTTTTTCCGGTATCAGCAGCGTGGTCTCGGTCCGCGGTTCCGCGAACGGAAAATGATCACCGCGAGTAATGGTTCGCAGAAACGTCTTTAAGATTTCACGGATGAACGACGATGGATATCGCATTGAACGCTTGCATACATTTGTTAGCAATGGGTTACTGCGTTCCTGAAAGTTGCTGGAATCAAGGGCAAGGAGAATCAACGAGCTGGGTCTTCTATCGCGAGAAACGGTGACATTCTTAGATCCTCTGCGAGTCTCTTTGATACGTGATTAAAAACGACATGGATCGAGGAAGCTTGTACAAATGCGACTGAAGTATATCGAGCCAGCAAACGTTAACATTTGAAAGGTGGCTCTCAAACGGTGAATGTCAGGAGTCGGCAACATGGAACTTACAGATACCTAAATGTCCGCGAAGCGTTTTGTTGCTATATTAAATCGATATACAAGCATCAAATTGGCAGTACAAGAGATTTGTAATTGGATACTATTAGTATAAAATATTGATAAAACTAGCTGCGTTTTGAAATAACGTACGTATTATGATATTTCGACGAAATTCTACTTGGCATTAAAAAGAAAGATGTTGACGTGATACTTGATGCGACCAACTTTAGATTAATGGAATTAGAAATTTCAGCAGATTGTAAGTGTCGCATTTTAAGTATATATTTCAGTTTCTAAGTAGAATTTTGTACCGACAAATTATTTCAAAATAAATGATACGCAGTTTTTAGTTTTTCTCTTTAATAAAATGAGAATGAAGAATGTCTATTTCTATGCACTTTTTAATAAAAGAGTTACCTCTAGTGTATGCGATAAAAATGCTCGCACCTAATCATACCTAGTTTACCATAATGGAACGATTCGATCGGTCGTAAAGGCGGATTTCTAGCAGCCAGGGATCGACTTGAATCGCACTAGCAAGGCGACCGGACGACGAGCTTCTTTTTATTTTCGACAACGTCAAAGCACGCACAGAGATTGCCGTTTTCTAGGAAGAAGACGCAATAATTATCGTGCACGTAACAGTCGTTCCTGTAACTACACGTGCAGAATAATAGAAATTACGTGAACGCGGAGGGCAGAACGAAACATCGAAGAAGAATGTTACCGACAAGGGAAAAGCAAAGGAGAAAGACTCTAGGATTTTTCAACGTGTAATCTCTGCATCTGTGATTTTCT